TTTTCTTCTCTTTTTAAGCCATTTCTCTGTAAGTTACATATTCACATTCATTGGGGAAACTGTAGGAGTAGCCTGGTGGGTCTTACTTACTAATAAAAATTTTGGATTTGTTCTTATACAATGGTTGGAATGCAGATCCAATATTGTTCTTTAACAGTTCATGAGGAAGTACCTATGGGCTAATATTCCTCTTTCCTCTCTCATCTTCCTTTCCTCCTTCCATTTTTTTCTTGATCCTCCTCTTTCTTTATCCTTTTTTCCTGTCTTTTTCTTACTTCTTCCTGTCTTTCTCTCTCTCACTCACACACATGCATGCTTGTGCACACCCACACACATGTGCACACACACACTTGGCTCTCATGACTCTTTCTTTTGTGTGCATGTGTGCACATGCATGTATGTGGAGGTCAGAGAACAACATTGACTGTTTTCCCTAGGTTCCTGCCACCATGCTTTCTCCCTCACTGGACTGGAGCTCTGCGAAGTATAGGCTAGTTGGCCATGGAGCCTGGACATCCGTCTGCCTCCACCTTCTCAACACTAGAGTCACAAGGGAGCACCACAGTATCTGGACTTTCCTTTTCTTTTTCATTTTTTCTTTTTCTTCCTTTTTTTTTCTTTTCTTTTTTTTTTTTTTTTTTTTTTTTGTAATGTAGGTTATATGGGTAGGGATCAGGTCTTTAGCTAACAAGACCAGCACTTGACTGCCTATGATTTCTCCTCACCTATAATTTGAATAAATTTCTGCTGTTAACAAAGTAAAGTCCGAGGCACAATTTGTTTATTTGCTTAGCTTTTGTTCTGTTATTTATCCCTGATGATGCAGTGCTTAAGATATTGTCCAAAATAGATTAAAAGTTTTTATAAATGTTTGTTGAATAACTTAATATTTTAAATATAAATAATTAAAATATTTTATCCATTCACTGACTGAGCCGTTTTCTGTCAATAGAAATGTCTCAAAGGCCAAAATTTGCAGTTAAAGTGTAGATGATTTCCTTGACTATATGATTGAGTTGTGAGTTAAGGCAAGCCACAGTTGTTTGTGGTTCTCAGTTTCCTTATTTTCTCTCTCCATTACTTTTACAATGGTGAAGAAATAAAGACGGATCGCCCAATAAAAAAAAATGAACCTTCATACACACATATTTAAATATGGATATATTTAAGTATTTTTGTTTCCTTCCTTTTCCTTTCTTTGTATACAGTCAAAATAAATAACCTGTCAGCTGTTCAGGATCCTTGAGAGTGAATTGTAGCCAGGGATTTAGGAGGAAGGCAATTTATCTGACGTTTACTTGAAATGAGAGAGGTTTTTTTTTTTTTTTTTTTTTTTTTTTTTTTTTTTTTTGTCATTCAGGAAGAGAAGAGTACCAGTTCTCAATCATCCACATGGGAATTCTAAGCAGGAAGACAGCACCAACGGGGTTGTAAAATATAAGACACGTGTAGTAGCTGGAGGTGGATATTTCCAGCTCTTCTCAGTGAAGCAGCCCATCAAAATAACTATGCTTCTTATAAATAGTTCCCAATTTTTCTCATGGCTTATAGCATTGGTCTTCTAATTGTCTTCTCACTGTCTGCTTGCCGTGAAGACTTCCAGGAGAAGTCAGCTGTGGGGACAATTCAGAGAACAATTTAGTGGGTACTTTGTATATGCAGAGAGTGACTGTAGGCAAATAAAGATGTCCCTGTAAAACAAAATCTTGCTGGTGTAAAAGTCCCATATATTAGCACATGCAAACTGAAATTAGTTCCTTCTTTTATTTTTTATTTCTTTTTTTGTCTTAATTTAATGTTTTATTAGTTTGTTCAACATTTGTAATATTAATTTACTTTTTTTTTAATTTTTTTTTTATTGAGAAAAGGAGAAAAAAAACATAAACAAAAAACAAGTTTCCACCTCCTCCCGGCCTCCCATTTCCCTCCCCCTCTTCCCACCCTTCTCCCCCTTCTCCCACCCTTCTCCCCCTCCCCCCACTCCTCTCCCCCTCCCTCTCCAGACCACAGAGCAGTCCGGGTTCCCTGCCCTGTGGTATGTCCTAGGTCCTCCCCCCTCCGTCCATATCTAGGAAGGTGAACATCCAAACTGGCTAGGCTCCCACAAAGCCAGCACATTAAGTAGCATCAAAACCCCGTGCCATTGTCCTTGGCGTCTCATCAGCCCTCATTGTTCGCCATGTTCAGAGAGTCCGGTTTTATCCCATGCTTTTTCGGTCACAGTCCAGCTGGCCTTGGTGAGCTCCCAGTAGATCAGCTCCACTGTCTCAGTGTGTGGGTACACCCCTCGTGGTCCCGACTTCTTTGCTCATGTTCTCCCTCCTTCTGCTCCTCATTGGGACCTTGGGAGCTCAGTCCAGTGCTCCAGTGTGGGTCTCTGTCTCTATCTCTATCCATCACCAGATGAAGGTTCTATGATGATATGCAAGATATTCGTCAATATTGCTCTAGGATAGGGTCATTTCAGGTTCCCTATCCTCAGCTGCCCAAGGAACTAACTGGGAACCTCATCTTGGGCACTTGGGAGCCCCTCTAGGGTCAAGTCTCTTGCCCACCCTAAAGTGGCTCCCTTAACTAAGAATTGTGGTTCCGTGCTCCCCTATCCACCCTTCCTTTATCCCAATCCTCCTGTTTCCCCAAGTCCCCCCTCCTTCCCTTCTACCTTTTCTCTCCCCATCACCCCTTACCCCCATCCCACCCCACCCCCAATATCCCAATTTTCTCCCCGGCAATTTGGTCTACTTCCCTTAGCCAAGAGGATAACTATATGTTCTGCCTCCTCCCTGCCTCCTCCTCCCATTTCCCTCGCCCTCCCCTGCTCTCCTCCCCCTCCCTCTCCAGCCCGAAAAGCAGTCAGGGTTCCCTGCCCTGTGGGAAGTCCAAGGTCCTCCCCCTACCATCCAGGTCTAGGAAGGTGAGCATCCAAACAGCCTAGGCTCCCTCAAAGCCAATACATGCAGTAGGGTTGTTTGGTTTGCTTTGAGGCAGTATCTTTTATAGCACAGGTGAGCACCTGACTTGTATAGCTAAAGACAACATTGAACTTTTGATCCTCTTGTCTACACATCCCTAATTCTGGGATTCCAGGCCTGCAACACTATGCCTAGTTTATGAGTGTGGTGCTGGGAATCCAACCCAGGGCTTCGTACATACTAGGCAAGCATAGTGCTCTGTGCCCATTGGACTATATATATCCCCAAGCTCAAGAGAGGAATATTACATCTCAAAAATTAGGTAAGGATGTTCACCTTCCTAGATAGGGACGGAGGGGGGAGGACCTAGGACTTACCACAGGGCAGGGAACCTGGACTGCTCTGTGGACTGGAGAGGGAGGGGGAGAGGAGTGGGGGGAGGGGTAGAAGGGTGGGAGGAGGGGGAGAAGGGTGGGAGGAGGGGGAGGGAAATGGGAGGCTGGGAGGAGGTGGAAACTTGTTTTTTGTTTATGTTTTTTTTCTTCTTTTCTTAATAAAAAAAATTATTAAAAAAAAAATTAGGTAAGGAACCTGTAATTTTTATTGTTGTTTTAAATTTGAAGTGTCTGACATTTACTAAGCAACAGGAGGACAGCCAATGGAAGCATGTTTGGATCCTTCAGCTGATGCTGCACAGGGCCTCCATATCTCTGCCTGCTCTTGCTTGGAATGAACTATCAATTTCTGAATAGCAGTTATAGGCTACTGTGGTATTCACAATCATTAAAGACTACAGAAGTATCATAATGAAATTAGGACCCTGAGGTAGGTTTTCTGTTTTTCCTCCTTAATGAATCATAGTTCCCTGAAGGTCTCCAGGGTATGGTCTTCACAGGCATTTTTCCCTTACGTCTGTGAATCTGAAAGTTTATGACATCTCTTAGAGCATGAGGTCATTGTGCTTCTGGTATTGTTGAAACAAATCAGTGTGTCAGATTCCTCTTGTATGTGCTTACATTCTGTTTCACCTTAATTTCCACCCTCTTTGATATCTACCAAAAAGAACACAGCATTGGCTAATCTTGGCCCTTACTGTATTATTTTGTCTTGGGTAGTTTCAAAGGGAAGCCATTCTATCCACATATATGGAGGTGTGTGTGTGTGTGTGTGTGTGTGTGTGTGTGTTTGTATATGTGTTGTTTGCTTTAAAACAGATTCAAACTTTAGAAGACAGAGAGAGAGTAATGTCTAGTGATTAAGTTGACGTGGATGAACAAATGCAAGAGAAATGACACACGGGTCATGAAAGAGACTATACAGATAATTTTTCTAGTTTTGACTTCATTATGTTTTTGTTCTTTTTCATGATGTATATGTGAATTCATTTCTCTGTGTTGTGAAGCAGACCATCTAGATCATCTTAACATTCAAAAAGTATCCAAATATGCTATTCCTTTGAGGCACTGGCTGTGAAAGTTCCGTTTTCCTTTTAATTCCACTGAGTGTTGGTGCAATAGCACACAGATAAGACCCAGTCGCTCAAAACACATGTGGCACTAACCCGCTTAAAGTAACTTTTCAAAACTATTTTTCTAAGAAAAAGAATTTGTGTGTTGTAATTTCCACTTTATTTTACTTAAAACTATGTCAAATCGGTCTATTATGCATTATTCAAACTGTAAATTTTGCATTGCTACATTTGTAAATAAAGTATGGTTTTAAATGTTTTTAAACTCATCTGACTAACTCAGTTGTAATATTGTTTAATTGTTCTCTGTTTTAGTTTATGTCCCCGACTCCTAGTGCTATCATTCATCAGTGTTTAAATATGTTCTTTAAATAAAAAAAGTTTACACATGCATAATTGTATGTGTGCATGCATATATATACTAAAACATATAGCGAAATAACAGAGATAAAGGAAGAAAGAGAAACTAAAGCCAGAAAGTAAGAAAAAGAGGGCAGGAGAGACTGCATATGTTTGCACATGTGCGCGCACACACACACACACCACCACCACCACCACCATGAGATCCTCTGTCCTATTTCAACTCACACTCCTGACTTAGGAAACTTCTTGTCTTTCAGATGGAGCCCCATTCACCTGGTGGATTGGGAGGTCTAATGAAAGACACCCTTACTGGGGAGGCTCTGTTCCTGGGGTCCAGCAGTGTGGATGTGGCCTAGAGGAGAGCTGTTTGGACATTCGACACTTCTGCAATTGTGATGCAGACACAGACGAATGGTAAGAAGAGCTTCGATTTTCCTGCAATGATGGGAAATGTCTGGTGCACAGAATCACTACTAAGAGAAAACAATGCAGATAAAAAATGCAATGGGAATTAAGGCTGAAGGGAAAGAAAGGGACCCGGGAGCCTGAGCTGAAAGACGGGTTAGCAATTAAGAGCAATGGCTGTTACTCCAAAGGACCTGGATTTGTTTTTCAACACCCATGTATTGACTGACAACTGTTTTTAATTCCAAATAATCTGAGGTTCTCTCTGGCCCCTCTGAACTCTGCATGCACATGGTAAACATGCTTCAAAACAAGAAACTCATATACAAAAAAGAAAAATGCTAAAAGTCTGCCCTTGTATATTCAGAACTAATACTAAGGTTTATGTCAACTCTTTGAATTATGAAGTTTGCATTCAATGCAAAGAATGCAATGTAATATGAGATGTGCTATTTGGTCAGTTTTTCCTTTTTTCTACACCCTCCCGTGTGTGTGTGTGTTTGTGTGTGTGTGTGTGTGTGTGTGTGAGTGTTTGTGTGTGTGTGTGTATTGATGCTCTTCTGTGTATGAGTGTCTATGCATGTGTTCATGTATGTGTATGGAAGCCAGCAAACAACTTTCATTGTCATCACACACCTTGATTTCCCAAAATTGGATCTCTCACTGCCCCAGAACTAGCCAACTATGCATGGCTAGCTGGCTGGCAATGATGTCACAGATTCCTCAGTGCTGGGATTATATACTCTGACTACCACACCCAGCCTTTAAACTGCATTCTGGGGATTAGTTCAAGCCCTTCAAGTTTAAGGAAAGCACTTTACCACCCAACCATCACTCCAGATCTTGAGTTAGATTTGAAACACATATGATGGGAAAGGCCTGGAAAGAAAGATGTGTAACTATATGGATGTTTTTTATCTTTCACTGGATGTTTTAGTGCACTTACCACCATTGTTAAAGAGACCTTTAATATAAAATTAAAATTTTATTTTACTTACTGATTTTGAGTTAGTGATCATATAATTCTCATAATAATCTTGATATTCCATAAGAGCATTACCTTGAGAAATATTTGTTACAGAAGAGTTAAATGATTGTTTCTGATGATATACACCTCTGTCAAATGGAAAGACCAAAAATGCAACCCGTGTTCCTTGGATACTCAGTCTCCAGTGCTCTCCTACAGTATCTCCTTTATGCAGAGTGATGTCTAAGCTCTCATATCTATTAGGTCTACATCTTCTTCAATCTCCAGACAAACTCTTCCGTTTTCACTTTATCAGTTATAAAAATGTGCATACAGCATATCCACTTTTCTTTTTCATGAACTTCAGTCTGTCTTTTCAAGTTTTGCTGGGTTTTTCTCTCTCCTCATCAAATATCTCCCAACTCTATCTGAGAAGCCCAGAGATGCTTCTCTCAGACCAGTTGCAATTCCTGTCGCATACAATAGTTTATTTCATTGTTGAAACTGTTACTGGTAAAGTCCAGTTCAGTGAGACTTGATGTCTAATCAAAACATTGAAATAAGCTAATTTTTGGAGAGATAACTCACTCAGTAAAGTGTCTGCCACACAAGGATGGAGTTCTGAATTGAACTCCCATCACACACATAACTAAATAATTTAAACATGTTGCCATGTTGGTATGGCCTTGAGTTCATGGCACTGGTAATGTGGAAACACATATGTCCTTGGGCACACTGGGGATGTTCCAGGTGAGAAACCATCCAAAAAGATACTCAAGCAAACAACTAACAAAAAAAAAAAAAGATGGAAAGTACCTGGAAAATGGCAGCCAAATTTGTCTTCTGGGCTCCATATTTACATGTGCAAATGCTCATGTGCTTCTGAAAACACACACACACCCAACTAATCTTAGATAAAGAATAAGCAATGTCTCCATCTGCTTCTGATATATGAAGACCACGAGTTCAGAATAACACAGAGATGCGTTCCTTTAGATGCCTCCATTACCCCAAACACTTTATGTGGAAAAATAAAGTTGACTGAACGCCATATGTCAGCTTCTTTCTTCTTTGGTCCTCCTCTTTACTTTGCAGTAAAATTTATTGCAGCATTATTAAGGCCTACACATAACTCCCCTTTGTGTCTTGGATGGAAAACAAATCTCTATCTACCACTAGCCTTCATTCTATCTGGTCCTGATGCAATAGACATTTGATGAAAGTTTCATGGAAACAAATTCAGAAAATCTTTGGAAAGGGATATATTAATTGCTTTTCTTTATACAAAAGGAAGAAACCCCAGGAAGGAATGATCTATTTTGGCTTATAGTCTAAGGGTGTAGTCCATAATGACTGGGAAATCGTGGTGACCAGAGCTTGAGACAGCTGATCATATTGTGTCCAAAATCAGCAAGCAGAGAGATTAATATTGCAGCTCAGCTCACTTTTGTCCAGAAAGTGGTGCTACCCACATTTAGAATAAACCTTTCTACTTCAAGTAACCAGATGTTTGTTTCTACATCCTATTAAGCTAGGAGTCAAGAGGAACAATCAAACTAAACATCATCTTCAAGCTTAGGAGAGATGTGTGAAGATTTGTTAGGTGATTGTGTTACAAAACAAACAAACAAATAAACAAAAAGTCAACTAAAAATTTGATAATCCAAGGTACTCGGCTTCACTCGTAAATCTGAGTCATATGTCCCCTCACTGTGTCTACTATTAGAAAGCATTTACAGATTTATAGGCTCAGCATAAAATGCCCTCCCTGGAAATCATATGATTGGAGAAGCTGACACAGGGAAAAAATGCAAGGTGGAAGCTGCCATTGAAAGTAGAGCGTTTCTTCTTTTGTGTACTTTTTTCACCCAGAGACACTGCCACTGTGCATCCCTTCTGAAAGTAAATTGTCAAGGCTAAGTTGATTGTACAGTAAAGAGTGAAGATAATAGCCATACCTCACTTACTGAAGATGAAGTGTTCCTGTACTTTCTTCTCCAGAACATTCTACTGATTATGCTATCCACTCCGATCCCAGTTACCCTCTATTGACTTGATTATTAGTTCACTTACTTCTGAATCACTTACAAGCTGATTTAATTTCCTCACCTATGTTGTGCTTATAGCAACTTATCAGAATTCCTCTTCCCCAATTTTCTTTGCCAGCACACTGGTATGCATACATACAGATGCACATACACATGAGTATATTGAGAACTGAAGCCAACATTAGGTGATGTTCCTCAAGTTCTATCTACCTCAGTTTGTCCTGAAGCTCATTTATCTAGCAAGGTCAGCTTGCTGGTCATCCTTAAGGATCCACCTGTCTCTACTCTACAGAGGAGAGGGATTAGAATCATGTGCTGCCATCTCCAGCTTAATTTTATCTGGGTTCTGGATGTCAGATTCAGGTTTTTTGCTTGCACAGCACTCAGTTGGCTAAACGAGTCATTTCCTCAGTACTTGTAAGACCTTTTAGCATCATATAGTTTAACACATGTTTCATAAATCCTTCTATTTCTTTATGGAATAAGCAACTTTTCTTAGGGTTATCAGCATTTTTAAATACAGGTCTTGTTCAACAGCTGTCTTTATTTGCTCTCTATTGCTGTGATAAATGCACAAGACAGCTTAGAGAAAGAGGATTTTATTAAGGGTTATACTTCTAGAGGGATAAGTGTGTATTACTATAATTGTAGGAAAGTTTGGCAGCAGGCAGGTATGGTGGCTGAAACACAAAACTGAGAGCTCACATCTTAAACTACAAGCAGAGAATCCAGTGAGTAAAGTAGAAATGGTGTGGAACTTTGAAACCTAAAATATGGCCCCCAGTGATTTAGTTGCTCCATCAAGTCTACATCTCCTAAACCTACTCAAACAGCGCCACCAACTAGGAACCAAACACTCAAATATCTGAGCATATGGTTGATGTTCTCATTCAACCACCACATCCAACCTACTAAGACCCAAAGGAAAGGGCTGAAAGTTCCTATTAGGATGATCGCTTTACCCAATAGAGTCCATGTTGAACAAGTACGTGTAAAGTCTAAGGGAGAAGAGATCTAGACATTCACATCTTTCTGCTAATGAAAAAGAGGCTAAAATTGGAGTCAACTCTTCCAAATTTCACTGGTGCCTTGAGAAGAAGTTGTATCCTGTGGTGGGTGTTTTCTAGGACATACCATTATGAAAAGATTCATTGAGTTAACTTTCCTAGGAGTTTCCCAAATATCTCTTCACCTGAGTTAGGGAACCAGTGACAGTTCCAAGAGCCAATTTCTTCCAAGTCTCAGTAAGTGAACCAAGGAGTTTACTAAACTTACTTATACAGCACTTATAGAAACATGAGTGAATCCAAACAGTTTTGTCACTTCAAAGTCATACCCAATCATGAATAATAACCTTATAGAAACCACATCCTGGAGTCTCTGCTTCATGAGGCCTTCCACATCCTGTGTACTCTAGTATATTCCAATTCATGTGGGGTAAGACAGGAAGGAGTAATGTCTGGAATCCAAGAGAGAGAACTTAACATCACCTCCTCTCCTTCTATTAGAGAGTGACTGTAACTCCATAACCATGATCATAGACCTATCTCCTTCTGTATCATTCTGTTCAGTTAGTTGCCATGGGTATGGAGCTAAGACAATCTTCACTACAAGGACCTTCATATGATTCCCAAAATACTATACTATATGACAGTGCAAGTTTTGCTGCATGTGAGATTGTGAATTTGAAGTGTATTGGTTGAATAGCACTCTGTGCCAACTAGTCAAGAAAAAGACAGAGAAAAGCCGAGTGTCTGTCTCTGAAGCATCCACAGGATAGGGGAGAAGTGCTCCTTAGTCATGAGTAGATCAATATGATACATTTGGTAGCAGTTAAGAATTTTCAGTCTAGAACCAGAGTCTAGAATTTGGGGGAGCTGATGTTCAAAGAGAAGAGGGAGTTAAGGTGGAGCAAATACACAAGTGTGACATAAAAAAGAAACAACCTTGTCACTCAAACTGAGAAACGTGTAAGCATATAAAGTCACTACATA